TAGGGCATCAGATATCTTGCAGTCCAGTACCATTCCAATATGAATTTTAGCATGTTATTTAATTTTTGTTAGTTTTTTTGGTTTATTATTTTCAATAATGAACCATTGTGATCGACCTAAAAATTCAAAAACTTAACCATCTCTCAAAATTTGAGGTTTTACGTTTCAGGATACGTAGAATTCGAAAAACGATTAAACATTTTTTTGTCCGTCCACCGTCCGCTGTCCGCGTATTTTCTCCAATACTACGGTACCGTTTTTTTTTCAAATTTGGATATAAAATCAGAGGTCACACGAGGATGATCCTCCTTCATCGACATTACTATCCGCCCTTTATTTTCAAAATGGCGATCGGAAAATCTGTGTTGCTATGGACTGTAGCGCCTAAACGAATGTACCGATTTTAATGAAAGTTCGCTAGAGTCATTTTCTCGTCGCCCTTTAAATTTATATAACATATTTCAACAAAAAGAACATATTTCAATAACAAGAACAAGAACAAACAACATATTTATATAACATATTTCAACAAAAAACTGTAAAAAAAGTTACGAGGGATGGTAAAATTCCGAATAACTCAAAAAGTATATTTTTTTAAAAGTTTACCGAATTCCTAAAAAAAACAAAAAAAAAAATCGTTGAAATCCAATAATTAGGAGCAAAGATCTGGTCTCTAGTTTTTTAAAAATATGTTCTGCTGCAAAGGTTATATCCTTTGTTTTGGTTTTTGAATATTTAATATGCTGCTGAAGTAATGCTGATTTTTTTAGCATATTACTGATGATTAAAAAAAAAAGTTTAGTCCAATAACTGGAATCACCTTTTATTTATTTTTCTTTGTAACTAGGAAGGTAATGTTACTTTAGATGTATAATTGTTTGTAAATAATAAACCATTGTGAAACAATTTGCAGCGTGTTTTGTTATCTTTTTTTCTTTGTTTTTAGTCATATTGTGCAGATGGTATGAATGCATATAGCTCTAATACTCAGTACTCTTAAACGTATTACTTCATAATGAAAAGATTCTATAAAAGAAATCCTTATATTTGCGTTTAAAATACAGAAACCTGGTGATTGCTTCAATTATTGTAAAGTACTGCTTGAATTATTAAAGATAGAGTTAGAAACATGGTAGATCATATATAATTACACTTGCTGCGATCTGCCCCATGTTGTCCCTTAGTCTAAAACTTTTCATTTCGAAAATTCATTACCCCATCGAAAAGTGCTCCCCTCGAAAATTCAAAATCCGCTTAAAATGTGATCCCCCTCAATAATATTTGTAGGGCAATTTGTGCCCTTCTTCCTGGTATCTCTACTGGCGACAACTAGAGACTTTTTATTTAGTTTAAAAAATATAAACTTAAATTTCCTTTTTTTATGTGTGGAATCAGACCATGGTTTATACGAACTTTTTTGTAGATCTTGAGGTCTATATGTCCTGTAAATATATATTTTTCTTTACATTCGGAACACTCTGTATATATATATATATATTTATACAAATGTATAAAATAAATATGGTGGTATCTGAAACTGTCAATTATCCCAGACCCAACTTCCAATTGAGACAGAACATGTAATTGCTTGTTTTGAAGCCTCTGGCGAGGAGCCATTATTAAACAGAAACCACTTCCAACTAATTGGGCCCCTTAATTACCAGGGTCTAGCCAAGGTCAAATACTAACTAGACAAAAATACTGAAAAATATCAGAGTGACCTCTCACCCCCGCTATCTCAATGGAGATAACAAGGATCAGATCTCAACCCCGGCTATGGAAGAGGGGAGGCTTCCAAAAGCCTAGTAAGTTTCCGTCGTCTCAGCTGGGAATGTCAAGCGGATCAACGGGGACATGTCAGAGAACGCAATTGTCGAACAGAAAGGTAATCTATGTTATGTTCATGTCTACGTCATGGGGGTCACATGCTCATGGCTACGTAGTGTCCTTTAGCTGGTATCGCTAGAGATATTAATTTTGATATATTTCAGTTATCTTACTTCAAACGAATGAATCAATAGTAAATAATGTTTATATAAATAAATTTTTAAGTAACCAATAAATCAACAACATAATTTTAATTGTAATTCCGAAATTTACAATTTATGTATCAACTTAATATCACTTAAAAATCATGTTTAGAAAATAATTTAAAAATATATATATTTAGTTTCAAGCATAATTAGTTATTATGAGGTTAATATTTTTAACTTAACAAAATTATAAAAACTTGAAAAAATATTTGCATTCCTTAAAAAAAAATTAAAATTGCTAATATATTTGTTTTATTCAATTCTCTAGGAGCATAATAAATTTTTTTTATAAATAAAACAAATAATTTTAACTCTGTAAGAGAAACTCAAGTAATTCACTCCAAAGTATGAATAAAATAGTGATCAAAAAATTATTTTAAAAACCTTAATAATATTACATAGCTTATACATGAAATGTGTGTAAAAAGAATTTTATTTGAATTTTTATTTTATTATATTATAAAATATTAATAAAATAGAAATTAATTTTTAATTTAGTTTTTCACACCATTAACGAACCTTATTTTATATATAAATTATCAACCAACTGTAATCCAAATTAATTGTAACTATAACTATTATTAGTTGAAAAAATACGCCCAAATTTTATAGTGAATTGCTAAATTGCTGGACACATATTTTAAAATAAATAGAACACTCATAACAAAAAAAATAATGATTATAATAAAATAAAGTTATTTAAAGAATTATTTATTTAAAGTTTATAATTATTCTACTAAATTTTCGATTATAGCTAATGCGTAGTGTTTTTATTAATTTCAAAGTTTATAACTTTGTAACTATCAATCAAGTACAAATTTTGAAATTTGATTTTAAGACCTAACCAAAACGCATTTTAAACAGTATATATTATATTGAATGTAATATACATTATATATTTATCACACGTTTCTTCAGTATATCATAGTTTAAGATGTAATTAGTTCGTTTTTCATGTTTATATGATTATCCTTACATAATATAGCGAGTTATTTTTAGCTTTAGATGTAATTGCATGACTGAAACTCCAGTGTAGCCATTTTATTTCGAGTAAATCAAGTTATGGATATCAATTTGTGAAATTGATGAAGATATATATACCTTTTAGAAAGCATAGAAATATTTTTTTTAATGAGAAACGTTTCAAGCCTGCATACATTTTAAAAAATATGTGATCGAAAAGTTGTCCACTAAAATAAATAACGAATATTAAGGTGTGGTGTTTTTTTTTAAATTTTACAAATCGATACGCTTTAACATCTTTCGAAAAAATAATAATCTATATTTTGGAATTAGGAAATTTTATGCCATAAGCGATGAATTTAAATTTTTATAAATAAATTTAAAATAAATGGCTTATTTTAAAGAAGACATATACTCTGATAGGTCTACAGAACAGCAATGCCTGGCGCTCAAATCATCGGAGAAATCTGGTTGGTTATCAGTAGAGTTCATTCATTCCGCTACTAGATGGCACCACTATCTAAATTGGAATTTTGTTTCAGCCAATCGTAATTCAATATAAAAATTCAATTGTATGTAGTTTTAGTAAAGTTAAATTAAATAAATAAAAATCAATTAATGATCAGGAAATTTAAAACTGTCATAATCAGATGAATACTTGTCCCGATATCTTGATCTGATAATACGATATATATATATATATATATATATATATATATATATATATATATATATATATATATATATATATATATATATATATATATAATAATCATTTTTATATATTCAGAAATTACATTTTAAAACAAACAAATAAAGTTTTAATAGTGTTTAGTTTTGTTTTCAATCTATTTAAAAATGTTTTGTGCAGATGTGTATTACTAATAAACAATATGGCCATGTTTGTTGCCTCTTTGCCGTAAACAAAATTAATATAACTTTTTCCATTTCTTTAAAAAGTAACTTAACTTTTTATTTCCTGAAAATATTAATTTAATATACACTACATTATATATAGTTAAGAAATAAATATTGTGATTAATGTTTTTCAAAATACACTTAATGAAAAGAATAGTTTGCATTACGACATTGAAGTGGGGGAAGGCGTAGTTTTATGATTATGTTAAATAGACTTGTAATAGTTCCTACATACTTAATATCATTTGTACTTTCTTAGAAAAACTAAGTATCCACTTGATTGAACATATTTTTCAATTATTAATATACAAAAAAGTAAATAAAGACCATAGAAACCTAGTCATGGTTAGCAATGATCTGTTTGTTATGACCTTTAGATGATTGTTAATAATATTTTGATTATCTGATACGAGATGCTAAATATGATTTTCACTATCATCACCATTAACTGGCAGTACAAACCAGTCCTGGTATCCTCAAGTAATTTTCGCCAAATCATACGATTAGTAACCTTTAGCTTTTCATTTGAGCCATAAGATACGTTGATCATAACATCGAGAAAAAAAAATGCCTACAAAAATGTTGGGCCGTTTGGCCTATATAACCTTGTTATTTTGACATATTAGGGATGGAGGTCACACCAAACGGCCTAATATATATAGGCCACCTTCTTTTTCGATTTTGTGATCAAAGTATCTTGGGATTCAAGTGGAAAGCAAATGCGTGTTCATGAGTTTTTAGTACCTAATTAAATAAACAAAGTTTGTATTTTTTTCTACAATTAAATTTCTCATTCTGCGTTCTTCCTTATATGACTAGGCCAGAAACTAAAATGAAGAATTCGGTAGTCCTCTTCAGGTCCTCGAGGCTTCCATATTGTTTACAAGTTTGTATTTGTACCATGAACTACTAGTTGCATTCTCTCTTAGTAGACCATGTATACTGCGAAGAATCTTTAATTCAAATATAAATATATGTTTTTATAAATATGTATATCACCTTTGATTAACATGATTTTAGTGATAATTAGTATTTAGTATTTTATTGCTAATTATATAATATATATATATCATCTCTGTTGCAGGTATGCAGCTGGGTGACTGGCGAGGGGACGAGGAGGAGGTGCAAGTGAAGGAGGAGGAGGCGAGGGCCCAGGAGGACAACGCCGCTGCCTCGAGGATAGTTGCCACCCCCTCCCCCGGCCAACACCACCACCACTACATACAGTACGAGCCCGTCCAAGACCCAGGATCTGTAGGTCAGTATGTGTATCAAGGAAGGTCATTGTATAGCCGTGGCACGGTATCCCGTGTGAAGGCAAGGCATAATAAGTCCATGGTTTATTAAAGGTTTTCCCAACAGAAACCTTATCCACTTCTCTCGAAGAGATAGTCCGAAATGGCGGTCAATTTCAAATAATACAAATTTTTATCATTAACGTTTCGACCCACATACATCATCAGAGCTTTTAACGGGCTTACAGTCTCCAGTAATATTATGAAAACTTTTTTTCCTTCCCTTCTTCTATACAGAAGTTCAGAGGAGAGGGCGAAGATTAATGCTAAAGTTAAAAGTACTCCCGATACCGGAATGCGAGCTCGTAATTATTTTATCATTTATCTTCGATTCATCAGGTTGCCGGACAACGCGTTACCCCACTCGATCAACCCGCCCCAGCTGATGAAGAACAGTAATGTTGATTTCAATAACTGTTTATAATATTTGAAGTTCCTTCTTGAACGCAATCCAGACCATATTAAGGTGTAATTTAGTAAATCAAAGATTTGTCTACTCAATTATAATACATATTACCTTCGGACTCGTTTCTGACACCAGTACTATCTTTGAATAAAAATGAATTTTTTCCAATCAGTATGCCATAGATCTCCCCTTTAATATATACCATGAAATATCAAAACCTGGTTTGGGTTCAAATCCAAACTTGGTAAATAAATATTTATTTCTGGAGAAATGAATCTTAGCATTCCTAATCGACTTATTACGGGGTGGCAATCTCGTAGAAGCAGGAAGAGATTTTCAAGAAAGAACCATAATACTCACTTGTTGGATTAGTAATTAGTACTTACCAATACCAGAATCCGTTCATGTAATAGTACAGGATTGAATCTTGACACAGGCGGATCTACGAGGAGAGGAAGCTTTCGGGCTGAAACTCCCCCCAAAATGCTAAAATGTAACCATGTTTTATGGTAAAAAATATTTTAAAAATATCTCTTAAAATGTTATTGTTCATGTAATTACATTTAATAGGACTTCAAAAATCACATAAACACCATTTCATATATGCAGATAGTATCTTTCTTTCTTTTTTTTTAAAGTAGTTATCGTTACATATATGAAAAAAAAAAAACCTTTCGGGCTGAAACCCCCCTCCAAAATGAAATCCTGGATCCGCTAGTGAATCTTGATGTCCACAAGTGGCATTGGTACGAGGTGTCCCACTAATAATACATATTGTGTAGTACTGTCGACTCTCGATAATTAGAAATCCAAGGGACTACAAGAAAATTATCGAGACTTCGAATTATCAAGAAGTTTGAATTATCAAGAGGAAAGAAAAAAAAACTCGAAATATTAAGAGTTGTTATTATATTTTGGACATTTATATGAGCTTACACAATTGTATAAGTACAAAGCCTTATTTAAAAAATAGAACAAAGAAAATTTCGAAATATTAAGAGAAGAAGTGATTAGAATTATAGTACCCTCTCTCCCTTTCTTTTTACAAAAAGGATTTCGAGTTATCGAGTGTATCAAAATACAGAATTTTTTCGATTTAATGTAGTTAACAGCTGAAGAGTCAAATTATCAGAAAATTCAAATTATTGAGAATCGACTGTATATATTATCTTTTAAATACCAATGTTTGAATACTGAAAAAGAAGTATTAGCTAAATACAAAAATATATTCTTCCTAGTCGCTAGTATTCTAATTCCAAATATTAACACAACTAGTTATTAAAAAGTGAAAAATGACGATGTTATCTTTTACTCACTGTTAAATAACTATTAATATTTGCTCTAGATTCCTAAAAAAAAATAAACCGATCCAATTTTATCAAGCTAATTATTAGGAAACAGTGACAATTCGCTGACATTTCAAACTCGAATCTCATAAAAATACGTACACATTATTTTATAACCCATTCGACACGGTCACCAGTTCGAATGCTTTATAGTCATCAACCAGTTTACAGCATCCAATTCACGACAGAATATAATTTTAAACTGAACGGATTGTTAATTTTAACATTGTTAACATTGGAATGATCTGTTAACATAGTGCTATAAGTCGGCTTATTGGCGAGATTTGTTGACATAATTACATATCAGATGTACTTAAAAAGGTCTTTTGTGTGAATTTTGCAAATTACAGAGGTACATTATATTAGTTAATATTTTTTTAAAATATGTTTTAGGGTAATGTGGAGATAAGCTAGAACTAAATTTTACAAAAGTGACAAAGCAGCTTTTATATAATTATTTTTGAAGTTAGATTTTCCACATTTTTATCAATGTTCCTAAGACGTTAACGTTTTAAACATTACCGTCAAGTTGACGTTTCAGTATCGTCCATCATTGAGAGATAGATAGATATTTTAATGTATTACTACAAATAATTTACATTTTTTAAATTTATTTTTTGAAAAATAATACTATCTGACATGCTCGAGGGCAATAAGTATTAGTGCTAGAGGTATCCATTCATTCAATACATATTATTCATACAAGAAAAAGAAATATTAAATAATAAATAAATTAATAAAATTAAGAAAGTTGAATACAAAATAAATAAAAGTCATCTAAAATTCATTCATACTATATATACCATAGCTGGGGAACCTTTTTATTAATAGAGGCCACAGTAAGGTTAGGCAGTGGTAATAAAGACCGCTATAATTCTTTATATTTTACCGTTGCTAATTTTATTTATCAGAATATATACACAGCCACATACATTCAACTGAATTCTATCAATTTCCAAATTTTCGTTATTTACATAATTAAATATTAATTAATACTGGCACTAGATAAATAAATATCGCGCAAAAACGTTTGGAGGATGCAAATACGTCACAGAGGCCACATGCGGCCTCCGATTTTAGGTTTTCCACCTTAGTTAATTATTTAATTAAGAGTATCCATTTTATAGAGGCTGGGTATGCCCAAGGTGGGTCATCCGATTAATAGAATCAATAATTACCTACCTCAGCCGGAGTTGAACCTTTGACCTTGAGCATAGGAGCCCAGTGCTTTACCCACTGAGCTTACTCGCTTCTCTATCGGTTTAGAATAATTCTGATCATTACCCAAGATTTTTTTTGTACTTGATGAATTTAAATTAATGGCAGAATACATGCTATTTTTTGTTGAGTACTCAGGGATAATGAATTCTATTAAGGATTTTTTACTTGAATAGTAGACTGATCACCTTTTCTTCAACAAATAGGTAAATATTTATGTATATTAGATAATGTTTCAAAGAATACTATAGTATGCTCCATTAAAGGAGGCAATGCCATTGAAAAATCGATCATGCCCGAAAAAGGTTGTGAACCAATGACATTCCAACCCTATGTTACGACATAGCGCATAATAATAGAACGGTTGTCATAGAAATTCTGGGAATAACTTCTACTTTGGCTGATTTTTTCAAGGATCCTATCAACACTTTATTGATGTTCTAACATCATATCCCGTAAAATATCAATATTAAGAAAACATTAAATTACTAATATTTTATGTAGAAACTGTATACACGAATGTTTCGAATTAATAGGCGTAGATTTTTTTTTTAATATATTGGACAGGTTTTTTTCTCACGTTTCTGTAAAAATAATTGGTGTTTTAAAATAAATTTTGAACATTTAGACCAAAACTCTTGGTATTACTGCAATTTCGCTCTCATTATAGTCGGTACCTATAAGTTCTACCCTGATCTATTCACTTTAGAAATCGATTGAATTTTTTTTAATGTTTCATTTTTAAATATTTATGAGATATTTTAGAAAATCAGTTTCTCCGTAATGAAGGTAAAAGGAGTCGTAATTTACATTAGACCTTTTTTTAAGAAAATAAATTTACAAAAGCATTATGGAAAGAACATAACTATTTAACTGAAATTAAAAATAGACAGCCTACTCACAATAAGGAAATAGTCCAGCTGTTTCATCCTTATCATTGAAAGCCTAAGAATATTACGTATTAAAGGGCGTAGTTTAAATAAAGTTGTCATTCTGGAAGCCCTAACATAACACGAAAGGAATTTGTATAATTTATTAAGAGACTCCAACATTATTTCAAACAGCTGATCCTTGGAGACTTTAATGCCAAAATAAGTTTTGTACACCCATAGAAAACCGTTATCTCGTCAGCAAATAGGAATAAAAAAGAATATAGAAAACGTCTTAGACTTTTTTCCCTTTTTTTAAATATAAAATAATATTTATATTGTCAATGTTTTCCACTGCTCTTAGATTTATGTCATTATAACGATGGATATTCAGCATTTAAGTAATAATAATTTTTTAAACTTTTATTATGATATTTACAACTGTATTAGTATGAATACATCAAGTAAATTTGTACAGAGAAATATTATTACATGAAACACGCTTGTTGAGAAACTACCCACTGGTAGCACTCTAATAATAATAAATTTTATTTAATATAGTGTAGTAGAAAAGAATATTGAAGACAAAGAAATCAAACGGATTTTACTTCCACAACAAAAAAAGGAACTGACGGATCAGTTGATGAGTGGGGGAATACGAAATGTGTCCAATTCGGGAACCCAAATTTGACGGCTAGTTCGGCTTTGCCATTTGTGATAACCGTAATGGGAGTATAAAGATATAGTTTATTGAACCAAGAGATAAATATTAACTTATCTAGATGTGAATTGAACCCACATAGCTCAGGATCGGGCAGGCGGTCTGGGTGGCTTAGTTCTGTTTCAACTCTACGGTCTTTAAAAATTTTGTATATGTCAGTACTTTTGGACCGTTATTTTGTTATTGTTTACTTTATTACCGTTACTTCATACTTCTTCGATTTTATTCTACTTCATACTTATTCTTCTATATTTTTATAGCTTATAGCAGATTTTTAAAAAAAAAATCTAATTATATTTTTAATAAATTCAGGCTTTTTCAATGTGCAGAAAGAAAAACATTTTTTTTTTCGTTATTTTTTCTAATGGCCTTATTAATATTTCTGTTTAATATTTATTTAATTACTGATTATTAGTTTTCTTGGAAACCCGAACACTTACAACAGTAATACTTTACATTACTTTAAAGTAGTCGCCATTACCGCAGGCCACGAGGCGAAGCGGGCAGCGGCGATAATGGAGAGGTTAATGACACCTTTTAATGACATCCATCAGAGCTAACGTTCTGGGCACCTTGTCTTATCGTCCTCTCCTGATAACTAACTGGCCCCTCGCTTCCTAGGTGTCCTATCTGGCTTCACAACTAGTTCGGGGCCGAGCACGGAGTATCAGGAGGTAATGGGATTTAGACAAAGAAAATGGAATCGGGAATGATTGGGAGGAGCATAACTAATCTCTTACATTTGGAGTATAGGGTCAGGACGAAAATTGACTTGCGAATTTTCAGGACTCCTCCTGGACTCCAAATGTCTAACTTGGAATCTTCATACAAGACAGAAAAGAAACCGCTCGACGTTTCGGGCTGTTTCAGCACTTACTTGACAATCCCTCTAAGTTTTCAATGAATTAGAAAAGACTCATATAAAGAGATGCTCAAAAGGGGATTTCATAGCACATTTTGACGGAATTTTGAATGTTTAAGGAGGACAAATTTCAACAAGGTTATGAATTTTAGAATGAAAAAATTCAATCCTAGGGACAAGAGAAAAAACATAGACCGGACTACAGAAAGTTTAATTGTACTTGATCTACTATTTTTCTAATTTTATTTTCGCTTGCACTCTTTTTTTTAAGAAGAGAGAGTAATAAAATTTCTTAAGAAGAGAGAAGAGATTTATGCGCCATCGACATTTGAGGAGATGGGTATCCCTACTCATATAGATTACTCTAATAAGGTCCATTTTGAATTACGTTAATCTTTGTGGATATCACCGAATCGATCTCGTATCCAATCCTTACAATACAAAATCCCACATAAATCCTCGATTATTCTTACTCTGTCACAAATAAATTGAACAATAACAAACTCAATGTTCCATATGTTTCATTTTTAGCCCAATCCACATACCAGTCCCTTTGTTAATAAACTTCAGAACCCTTCTAACCTTGCTTCTTCATCGATCTCTGATAATGTGTCTGAAAAGAAGATGTCCTCGTGATCACCTAATTTAGAAATTTTACTGCTACCAATAGGTAGTTTCTCTACAAGACTTTTCATGTCATTATACTTCTCTAGTCTATTTTCTAGATTTATTTTTATTTTGATACTCTGGAAAATTTAGTTAATAAAAAAAAGTCAATTTTAAGAGGAAATTCTTGCCCGAAAATATGTTCTCTCTTTCGTTCGCGGTTGGCAGCAACATAGATTATATCAGACTACGGGGTCTTACAGCTGCTCACATAGCATGGGGGCTTTCGAGCAACGCTCGCTGCTTATGGGAAGAGCATCAATCCCCTATGCCTCAGTTACGGAGTCCCGGATACCCTAAAACACACCATACCAACTATGAGACACTGAGGGGCAAGCCGATGAGGGAAACTACGATTTAGGTTTTAACGGAGAAGGAGTTACCCTACTTCTTTAGTTAATAAATGGCTGGAAGAAAATTGTATACCCAATCCACTTTAACTTGAAGAACAAGGTGGCGAAATATAGGATTTATAAATTGTACCTCTCACTTCCACATTGCCCCTCAGCCAATTTCCTCATATTTGTGAATTATATTTATTACACCTCTGAACTTCTACCAATTACCGAAAATTTCGAATCTCTATCCAACTCTAATAATCACAACTGGAACTGAGGTTACAAATAATTTCTACTTGAACACCTTTCGTATATGAATATTTAAACGAAGACGAAAATTAAAGAATCAGAATATGTAATGTGGATAGAAACTGCTCCTTTCAAGAATCTCATCCATTATTTATGTCCTTGTTTACTACTGCATGGTGCCCAGTAATAGGAAGAAAAAAATATTAGTTTTAGGAACCTTCAGGGATGCCTATCCTCCCAAGATCGATAGAGCAAGAACCTCCTTCCCTCTCCTCTCCCCTCCCCCTCCCCCCGAAGATATTTTATTGTTCTATTTTTCTTAAAAACAGTGCAAGCGAAAGTATAATTAAAAAAACCTTAGATCATATACAATTACACTTGCAGATCTGTTCCGTGTTTTTCTCTTGTCTCATGGTTTGAAACTTTTCATTCTGAAAATTCATAATCCTATCAACATTTGCGCCCCTCACAAATGCGCAGCTTGCGACATAAAACCCCCTTCTGGACTATTTCTGGTAACCTTAGCACAAAAATAGTTGTGAAATTTTACTTTTTCACATTCATGGTTTTTCCTTTGGACCGAGGATATAATATCTAATTGTTTATTTTTTTTTTCAAATATTTATTTTATTAAAACTGATCTCAGAAACATAATCAAGATTTGTCTATAGGAGTATTATTTTATGAGCATTTAGGTTAAATGAATAATTTATTAAACCGCTAAATTGAGTTTTCAACAGAAAATTAATTAGTAAAACTTCCAGATACCTAAGAAAAAAAATTATAAATTAAAAATAATACAAACTCCTCAACAAATAAATATCATTATATTCAACATATTGTCAATTATCAATAGGAATATCACGTGAAAGGAAGAACGCATTTTTATGTTTTATTAAGAATTAATTTCATAGTATGAAGTGGGTCTCGACTCACAACAAAAGCTCCAGACATGAGGTTAAAAATACAATGAAGGAAATATAGAGCGTTTCTGTACTATGACATGGCTTTGATTAGAAGACAAGATGGTGGAGGCAAGTATCATCTTTTCCGCATAGCTTTTCCTCAGACCTCATCGTGGATATATAATCTCGATCCAAATTCAATCCTTTATCAGTTCATCGAACTATAAGGTCCTTGCTCCGAAAACAAGATCGATATTTATTATTACGATGCTATAACTATTATTCGATCCCTGATAATCCTCCGAGGTGTCTGAAAAGAAGATGGCTTCGAGATCTTCTATTGTAAATACATTTGTTTTTATAGTGCTACCAGTGGGTAATTTCTCAACAAGTGTTTTCATGTTTTTATTTTCTGTTATCACATTTACTTAATGTATTCTTTCATAATACAGTTGTAAATATCATAAATAAAAAATAAAAATAAATTATTTTTCGATTCGAGTGGAAAGGAAATGGATATTGAGTTTTTGTACCTCATTAAAAAGACAAAGTTTACTGATATTAAGATTTAAAACGCCCCATTTCTCAGATTTTTCGTAAATAAAAAAGTTTTCGGTTATGATGACATGAAACGGTCCACAAAGTGTTAAGGGGATGTCGATAATTATATAAGGTGGGGTCTGTTCCGCGGACTATAGTGTACTATTTACAAACTTACTTATATTTGAACAATCTTTAGGGTGTATAAAGCTCGTTATTAGTTAATGAGTTGAAAACTGTCTATTTCATTCATTCATTCATTCATTCATTATTCATTATTCATTCATCTACCTAATAGCTATGTACCCCGCTATGTACAGGACAGTACCTGAGGTACAACAAGAGCCAGTTCCCGGAGGACCCCTACCTCATGCAGATGAGCCTGACGGCCTACGAGGGGGGCGGGGGCGGCTCCGAGGACAGCGGCCAGAGCAGCCCCGTCCGGGACCCCTCCCCCCAGCAGCAGCAAGAGTACTCCACGGCGCAAGAGCTACACGCGCTCCAGCCCGGCGGCTACAACCCTTCGGCCCATGAGTTCACCACGTGAGTACATAATAAAGATCTATATACACTGATCTATATATATATATCTTTTAAAAATTGAAATGTTAATTTTATGATATGTTTTTATATATTTATGAAATAATTATATACATTTATATTTTATGTTATTTTAGTGTTCGTGGATTTTACAATAATCTGACGATATAATGAGAAAAATGTATTGGAGCAAAGCATAATCATTTCGTATGCCTAAGTTATAACTTAAGAATTATTTATCAACGGTCAATCTTTTGATGTAATTTAATAAAAATTGTTTTATATCGCAAAATAATTAAATTAATGTGTTATACGGATAAAAGGATGCCTGAAAATTCATTTTCATATAAATTACAGTGAAGTTTTGTAATTGATTTAAAGTAAATGATGTATTCAAATCAGCTCGCATTAGTTTTGATATTCATTTTTGTTACATTGTATTACAGGATAATTGAAATACTTGTTGAAGAAGTGCCTAGGAAGAAAAGAGACCATGTGTCATCTTTTCATAGAGCACACAAAATGAAAATATCAAAAACATTTCAACAAGTAAAATAAAAAAAATAAATGAATAAAACCAGCGAATTAGTACTTACTTCCATGAATCTACAGCCCATATAGGGCCATGGTCTCCACAACAAAGCCTTTAGTATAGTTATTCCAAAATACTTCATAAAATCTCTGAATCGACTTGATACGGGCGATAACCACCTCAAATCGACCACGATTATTAAATAAAATGGTGGAGCGCAATGTCGAGTTCTGAGTATTATCCGAGGGCTGAAAATCTAGACCTAATTACCATTGAACGTTTATAAAAAGTACTTGTAACATTCCCTTATTTCTATCTGAATTATCATAAGACTACATAAATATAGCTAGTCTTATTTAGTGGGTTGAGATCAGGACTTCAGGTCTGAGTTGATCTATTGGAATCCTGTTGGAAAACCCAATGACTTCCAACAAACAGAGTATCATTTTGAGGCTTGACAACAGGTTCCAAAATATCGTCCAGATAGTTTTTAGCGGCTGTTTTAACTACTTTTTCACAAAAATGCATCTTTGTAGAGCTATCAAAGCAAACTCCCCACTAAACTATAACTAAGGAAGGGTGATGACCTCTTTCCACTTTTCCAATAACTTTCTGGACTTCTTTAGAGCTATGTGCGTACACAAGATCATTTTGGTGATTAAATTTTTCCTTAATTGTAAAAATGTTCTCATCGCTAAACAAAATTTTTCGAAGGAGACCATTGATGTAACGGCCAAAGAGCACTTTGCATCTATCCACTCTAAGGGATTTCTTCTGATTCGAGCAGCCATTGCTATCACTGCATTCACCGTTCACACAGTGCGGGGACGGCTTGGTCGAGGTCTGTCACATACAGACAGGATCTCATTTTAGCTATTTATCTGTGCTGAAAATATCTGACCTACATTTTCGAGAAAAAAAATGTGGTCTTCAATAATATTGAGCCGTTTGTTGTGACCTACACACCCAAATTGTCAAAATTACGAGGTGATATAGGTCAAACGGATCAATATTTTTGAAGGCCACCTTTTTTATCTAATTTGGACTCAAGTTATCTTATGATTAAATTGGAAAGTAAATGGGTATTTAAGAGTTTTTAGTACCTAAATAGACAAAGTTTACTGACCTCCAAATCGAAAACGTCCCAATTCCAAGAATTTTCGTAAGTGAAATATTTGTAGGTTACGATGAGATAAAGATATTTACGTAGTTTCAGCCGGATGCTAATAATTTTATGAAAATGGGTCTGTACCACGAACTATTACTAAATAAATAAATTAAATTCTCGTAGTATAAGATCTAAATTTCAGGACCATCTACCATGTGAGTTGTGACATGTTCAAGTGTCCAGAGAGTAATGCTCACGAGGCTGAAGGGAACACGTGTCAAGTCTCCACTCTCCGGAAAAAAAATTTGGCCCATCTTGGACTTGTGTCTCCGTGACACCTGGGATAACATCCTATTTTGGGACGATTATCCATCGACGGAGGCTATCTGGAAGGACCTTGAGGGTATCTTGGTCACTACGTACAACAATGACCTCAATGTCCAGATCAGAGGGACATGACGAGGCGGGTTGACTCATTCCTAACCCACTTCCCAGCGGCAACAATGGCGGAGAAGGATCATTCTTTGAATGCCCCATAGATTTTAATTGGTCCAATTTCAATTAATGTCCGAAGAATAGAGTCTAAAATGTTAGAGATATATAGTATGTGATAGGTTATTTTTAATGAATGAATTATTTATTTGTTTATTGGTGTTTTTTTTGTGTTGCCTTTATCCTTTGGGGTCATTGCAAACACCTTTTACTTACACTCTGTTATTGATTTTTATATTTTTTTTAAATTCCAAGATTTTTTTTTTTTTAAATATAACGATAATTACTATAGAAAAAACGGAAAGAAACTAACTACCTATACCAAAACGTGTTTAAGTGATTCTTGAAGTCCTATTAAATCTAATTACACCAACAATAATACTTTTAGAGCATTTTTTTCTTAAGAAACGGTAATATTTTACCATTTTTGGGGAGGGGCTTCAGCCCGAAAGCTCCCTCCTCTCTCCCCCCTCCAGTAGATCCGCCTGTGCTTTAAGCCATATCCAATTTTTCTTATATTTTAAATATAGGGCAGTCTTGGATGATGTGTTGAACTGTTCTTTAAACGATACATCTCTCGCACGTTGGGTTCAGTCCTCTTAGTAGTGAAAACTCACAATGCCCAATCCTTAATCTGCAGGATACTGTCTTTTATTTCTTGAACAGTCGGCTAGAAGTTTTCCATTTGGAACAGTGACTTTTTGTTTCTTTTAATATGCCACATTTTCCAAACTTCCTTCTTTACACTAGCGGATTCAGGATTTAATTTTGGGGGAGGGGGGACTTCAGCCCAAAAGATTTTTTTTTCATATATATAAGGTTGATTAATTTTTTAAAAAATAAGAAAGAAATGAACTACCTATATGAAATGGTGTTTAAGTGATTCTTGAAGTTCTATTAAATGTAATGAAACGAACAATAATACTTTAAGAGATAGTTTTTAATATTTTTTTCAATAAAACATCGTTATATTTTACCATTTTGGGGTGGGCTTCAGCCCGAAAGCCCTACCCCCTCTCCTCCCCGTAAATCCGTCTGTGCTTCTTTATATGTTACAAAAAATCTTCAACTGGAACTATCGGATTTCTTTCTCGCATTCTCACAATATTGGCTGCTTTATGTATCTGTTCATTAATTAACAATCTGTAATAAGCGTTTATTTTACAACGGTTATGACCATTTTTATTTTAAAAATGCGTAAATTTAATGCTTAAAATACTAATGGTTTATGTTAATAAACTGTAATTTAATAACTACAGTAGCAACTCTCAATTAAAGGTGGTGAAATTAAATTTCACCACTTTAATTTTAGAATAATTTTTAATATAATAGAATAATTTCTTCTAATCTTCTGACTAGAATCTAAATCAACATTTGGATTAAAGACAGTTCACCTGTGTAAGCGAGTTAAATTTGAATTGAACTAGATCAAGCTCGACTTACTGATTAGTCAAGTAATGAAAAGCTAAACAACACTTAGAAAATGAAAAATTGTTGTAGTTTTGGCTGTTTATGTAACGATAGCACATGTTGCAGTCTCTGAAAGTGTACAAGCTATGCATGTCATCAGGCTTTTTCAATATTGCCGTACAAGAATATCGAAATGGCTTTAATAGTTACAATTTGCGTTTACAGGTTTCAGAACTGTAAAACATTATCGAAGAAATATTAGAGAAAAATGATTCATATCATCTTTCACATTGAATAAGATTAATCAGCGGATATAGTTTGTTAATCCAGCATAATCCAAATCATGTATGTCGGTGGGAACAGTATGGATATGGGATGTTTAGGGGATTTCAAATTTTAAAATCATTACTGAATTACATCTTAACTGTATATCTGTAACTCTAATTTTTACTAAATTTACTATTTCAACTGGTATTTGAATCTATCTATTCTTGGGGACGATTTTCTTTCTATGAAGATCCACTTGTTTTGGCGGATTTTCGACTCACTACAGTATATTTTGTTTTACCTTCATTTACTTTTTGGCTGATTTACTCTGCTTCTTTTATGAGAGACTTAGTGAATCTCTCAGTGCCCTCTTGATTCATTCCATGCGCAGCTATATCATACGCATATTCTAGGATTTTATGATTCATTCTCACTTGGCATTTCTATCACATTCTCCTTGATAACGATAAGAACCGAAAGTTGTTTGTAATTAAAAAGCTTATTCTTGTTGATCTTGTATCATAATTCTGCATTTTTGATCACATGCAAACGCCCATTTCTATCTTACCGATTTCCCAAGAACACTCAGCCTACTGAATCATGATATTCCAGTTTCTTTTCGAGGACCATAAATAGTGCACCTCTGGAGTTCTCATATTTTTTCTAGGATGAAGATATCGTCCAGCATGACTCTTTCTCTTCTAGATTCTGCTTAGTGGTCGGCTATTGAATTTTCATAAATAATAATAGCGAATCCGAAGGTTCGATACCGATACCAAAAATCGATGTCCACATTGTTCCATCGCTTCGTCTAAACACAACTCCGCCAGATCAGCCTTAACTCAATCTTCCCACCTTCGCTTTGGTCTACCCGTCGGACGCTTGCCAGTCTGTACTGCTCATATTAATGTTTTACGAATTCTTTCGTTACTATGCTCAGCGATTTTATAATCCCCCTTTTATTCGCCTCAAATTAATCATCTTAATTATATTAACCGGATAGAGTTCACGCAATTCAACGTTGTGTAATCGCCTAAATTCTCTGGTCGACTCGTCCTTTTTCGGTCCAAATATTCTGCGTAATACTTTATTTTGACAAATCATTACCAGATACTCAAATTATATTTATTAAACCAAATACCAGACAGTCATAAATCCTCATAAAATAAAACTCTTATTATCCGGAAGCAAACT